AAAGCCCACGAGCTTCCTCCCTTGGGGACTTAAACCCTGCTGGGAGCCTCTGATTCTTTTCACCTTGGCCAGCGTTACACGCATGGTTTTCAGAGATCCCTGGTATATGGGGACCCTGGGATCAGGGAGTGTCTCTCCAATCCCAGGGTCTCTGTGTCCCAGGGATTTCTAAAAAAAAAAAAAAAAAATGTGCAGTGGAGCTAAGGCTGACAATCAGTTGATTGATGGCTGAGCTGGGACCTTTTAAGATCCATGTTTTTGGCCCAGCTGGGCTGCACACATAGTATTTATACATCCCCGGCACACCGGGACCCTCCTCCATTGCTGAAGAATGTCCTTGATAAGTGAGTTTGTTAGATGGTCATGGCTTCTCAGCTCATAACCATAAACATGGAGGTGCAAAGCTGCCCTTAGAGGCTGTGTTCGTATCACCGCTCTGTATAGCATTCCTCTAGGTCAGTGGTTTTTCAACCCCCCTGGGAGCCCACAGACTATGTCTAAGGGGTCTGTGAAAGAAGACTAGGATCAGTCAAAAGAATGCGAATACCCACATTTGCCATTCAGAGGGGTTCTCATAGCCATTTGAAATTTCCAAAGTGGTCTGCACCTCCCATTCAAAATTTTTTAGGGGTCCACAAATGAACAAAGATTGAAAACCACTGCACTAGCTGAACCCCAGTATGGAGACTGTTTATTCCCAGAGACTCCATGCAGTGTCACCAAATACCTCTTCCCCTGGCTGTCCAGCATACCTGGGAGGTAGGGAGAGACAAGTGGAGGAGTATCACTGAGTTGAATGAAAGTCGGCACTTTGAGTGGCTATTAGAGGAATGTTTTTCTCTCTCGCTTTGATTTCTCTCCACCTTCCCCCCACCAAATAAGTGTTGGATGTCAAGCCTGCTCAGGTGGCTTTTGTAAATCCCGCTAAGTGCCTGTCTGCATCTTTGGGCTCCAAAAATACCCTTGTAAATCTGGCTTTTTTTATCCCTGAAGGTTTTACAGTGGTCATGTAGACTTGCCTTCCTAACTGGGCAGCTTCTACTTGTAGGGCTTCGTGATGTACTGTGAAGAGGCCTGGAACATTTCTGTGTAGCCTGGGCCTTGTTATCTGGGTTGTGCTGCTGGAAATCTGGGTTTAAAAGCTTCTAAAACAATCCTTGCTTGGATTAAAGACTTGGTCAGCATGTCTTGTAATCAGGTGAATAAATCCCTCCTGTCTGTCTGAACCTCTAGAGTTGGTGCTGCCACCTGAGCAGAGACAATATATGTGCCAGTTTTATAAATGCAAGGCCAAAATTTGGCAGCTGTGGGCTCCACCTCTTGGTACATTATTGTAGTGTAAAGTTTCTCATTTTTGTGGTTATGAAAATATCCTGAAAACATGAACTGAATATAAACCCAATGTGCTGGAGTCTGCATGAGTCTATAGATAGCTAAAACAATGGTTCTCTAAGGGCCAAGTTACCCCCACTCATTTCAATTGGGCATTAATTCTGAGACCTGAAGACAGCCGTTTACATTTCTTTTTCAGCTATCGTATGGCTGATTTTAGCAGAAACATCCAGCGAACGTGCTTACCCCACAATCCCAAGCTACCCCTTGTTCCTCTTCAGAAGCCACAATAACAGCACTTGGCTTCCTTTACTGCACGATATATTTTTCATATTTATTTTGGGAAAAACTTCTGTTGTAAATGAGATAGGCCTAGAACAGGGGTGGGCGATTATTTCGGCTGGAGGGCCACTTAAGGAGTTTTGGTGAGTTGTCGAGGGCTGCAAGGGTAGCCCCGCCCCTTGACAGGTGCCCCGCCCCCGGTCGCCAGCTTGTGACTGGAAGTCTCACCCCCCTGACCTTTACCACTGGAAGTCTCTCCTCTTGCCCCTCCTTGTTGGGGCCGTTGCTTGTGTATTGTGTGTGATGGGCTAGGGAGTGTATGTGGCAGGGTGTGGGGTGAGTATGTGGCATGTGACTGGGTGTATGTGTGGGTGTGGGTGTGTGGGACTGTCGGGGG